AAAGATACCAAAATTAACTAGAGTTCAAATGATGCACAAATATGAATTTTTTGAGATTTTTTATTGCCATTTGAATCCCCTAAAAATTCATAGAATGTATAAGTTTTACCATTTTTGAAATGCAATAATTCAAATTTTACTTAACAAAATTTAGCATGTTCTATGCCATTATCATCCTTGTTATTCACTCTACCAACCTACAAAATATCAAGATTTTTAGAGCTCTCTAGGTACCCCTTCCTTGCTTCTTAAGTTGGATTTCTAAAAAAGTTTTGAAAAAATATCAAAAGTTACTGTTCATACACCAAAACCGCCCAGAAACCAGCTCAGGGTTGAAAATTGAACGGTTTCAAGAGTTTGAGGGCCAAAGTTATCCGGTTTTGAAGTTCGAGGTTAAAATCCAGACTTTGGCAAGAGTTCAAGGTTGTAAATTGGACTTTACCCTAAATTGTGTCTACATGGGTCCAAAACTAATACGAGGAAGAGCAGGAAAAACATGTTGTCACGGAGAACTAACATTTCCGAACTAAGCTACAAAAATTGAGTAATAGTTACCTGAAGCTTGTGAACTATGTTGGACATCTTATCCAACAGGGTCTCAATCTCTCTGACCTAACACAAGAAAAAAAAACTCCTTGTAAGAAAATAACAAATACTATGTCTGCATAATTAACTACCACTGCTACAAAACCGCATAAAAGAAGAGTTGATAAAACTTTCAGATCTGCACGTGTGCTTTCATTATAAACTGAAGACCAAACCTGTTCAAAGAAGTCTTTGAGACCATAATCAGAGATGTCCTTGGGATTTCGATTCCCCATCTCAATGTCCCTCTCCCTTTCTGGCTTCTCATCCCTCTCAAAGGAATCCTGTCATAGGATTAACCGAACCGACAGCGGTTCCAACAAGCATATTAGTAAATTATCATGAAGACAGCCCCTACAAATTTTGCACTGAAAATTTGGTATCTCTGTTTTTGCAGGTTATATATCCCAACAGGAAAGTCAGTTAGCTTCAAAGCCAGATATTCTGACATGGCCAAAAATAATGGTTACAGTCTGAGTTCCCAGTATGAAAACTAGAATAAAAAGGAGAGACGATCTTGCAAGAACGAACTGCACATACAGTCAGAAGATTGTTCATCTTGTGGTCCTCGGAGAAAGAGACGGGGGAGCCTTCCCTTGGGTTTCTCGTGCAGCAGTGCGAAGAACAGCAAGCCGCCGATGAAGAAGGAAACGGTGTATTCAGAGGACTTTGGAGAAGCCGTTGTGACGAGGATAGCTAGCAGGAGTAGTAATAAACTATAGTCAGCAAGGATGATCTTGGCGACGCCGGCCAGCACTAGAAGCCATTAACTAGCAAACAACCGGGTTTAGCAACTAACTAAAGAGACTTCATGCCTATTCAATGGTAATGACTACGCTGCTAACGGATGGAATAATGCACGGCGTTCTCCTTCGGTGGTCTCCCGGTCAACCCCAGCGAAGACACGGATGCTATTTCTTCTCTATAAATAAATAATCTTTATTATTATTACTGATCCTCGAATCGCCATGAATGTGTGGCGCGTGGGCTACTGGGCTCCATATGTCGCCAGGGTTTAATGGGCTGGGGTGGTATCGGTGAGTATCCTATCGGTGATGTGGCAGATGCTCGGTGGCTAAAGAGGCTGTTGGGCTCCATTGGGCCTCATTATTCCAGCGCGAGCGAGATGTTCTGCAGTTCGAATGTTCGATCGGATGTACTCCTACGTTCTGCCTAAGTGCCTAGCAAGTATCGTTAAGTTCGTATTATTAGCTGTGTATTAGATTAGCAATGCACATACACACAAGTGCTCGTCATCACAGGATCCAGCTGCTCTCCATGGACGAGCAAGCGGGACGAGTTGACGCACAACCTGAAAAGAGAGAGAGAAAGAGAGATAAAATCAACGGACACTTTTTTTTTATCTTGGATAAATGCTAATTGTCTAAATCTATATCTACACCTAATAATAAAGAGACAAAATTTCTCTCCACATATTTTTTATCCGGGCATCCCTTAACTAACTTTATGATTGTAAAAAACCACCTATAGCCCTTCTCTTTATAATAACTAGGAATCTTAATCCAATTAGATCTCTCCAACTCCAAGTAACCGAATAGGAATCTTAATCCAAATACAAAAATATAAGAATAGAAATCTAATAAATAGGAAAGAATGGTAGAATTTCTTTGTTTCGTTTCTTTTATGTTCTTTTTCACTTTTCTTTGGTTTGTCCGTTTTTACTTGCTCCGAGTACGTGCTGCATTACGTTCATTTGGACGTTTTTCACTTGGTTCCAAATATGTTCTGATTTGTTTCCTTGGCTATTTTCTTGAGTACATTCCAATTTTTGTCATAACTGTTTTCTACTTGGCTTCGAGTATGCTCAAAGTTTTTCTCATGGATATTTTTTACACTAGCTCGACTTTTCTGATTTTGTTTTCATTGTTTTCTCCACCTGGTTTTTTCGTGTTCTAATATAATATAATAAGAGTAAAAACAAATAATAAATAAGAGATCACATCCATTTTAATCTTTGTCTCCTTAGAAAAAAATGTTTTTTACCACTAAGTTAATTTAATCTTTGACTCGAACTCATGACCTGTGCTATAACTCACTACGTATTGGATTCCGTTGCAGCGTACGGGTATGTTTGCTAGTTGAAGATAAAAAAGGACAATGTTCATAAACTCAACGGTTCACCTCATATTTATTTTATCTACCTACATAGAATTATATATCAGGAGATATAAGTTGAGAAAAACAAAATAGAGAGATCTGGCAATTGCTCTTGCAGGGTGATCTGGCCGACTGGCCCTGCTGCCAGCCTCCGCCTCTTCCATGCGTGATCTGGCCATTGCCCTTGCAGGGTGACTAGGTGAGGAGGATTCAAGATCAGCTTGAATCGGTTAAAAGACACGTGCCCTTAACGAGGAAGGTTCGGAGTAAAATTAAATCGATTTGCATGCAAGTATTTTATTTGTGATTAATCCACTAGCCTGTTAAATTAACCAGGTCACCAGCGCATACGTTAGCGACCGAGACAATGTACCTCCTCATCACGCGTAGTAAGGCCATGTCTGCAGCCTATGGTCGTTCCAAACATGGAGCTGCCAAAATCAAAAAATGAAAAAAACCTCCAATTGATGTGACTTTTTAATTGGAATCTGAATCTCCTACTACCAACCAGGCAGCCAATCAGTGCCGGCCCTAAGGGGAGGGCAGGAGGTGCGATGGCCGAGGGCCCAAGCGGGATGGGGGCCCAAGCCCGAGTATATAATACTCCATACCCTTTAGCTATAGTCCATTAGGATTTAAGATTAATGAGAAGATGCAGCGGCCCATCAGCAAAAGAAGTTGTCGGCCTCTTTCTTTCTAGGAGGCAAGGAGCCGAGCCGCCAACACCGGAACACGCCGCAGACACATGACGATCTATAAAGTTGAAGTCGCGACTTCGTATGACTTAAGGCGAGACGGCGAGGCGGGAGACAATGCGAGAGAGAAATAAGCGTCGATCATCTAATTCACCACGCGATCAGGTTATAAAGATCATCCGAGACACCGATGCCCGAGTTCTATTTCAGTCTTCTCGTATTAGTTAGCGTAGACATAAAACTTGTGATTGGCGTTTTTGGGAAAACGATATTTTTAATTTTCCTGGAACGGAGGTAGGCTCACCTACTAAGACGACAAGATGCATCACGATCTTGGTTATTGCCTTCTACCCCTTTTGTGATTTGTGAATCTTGGTTCTGAATAAGTTCATATCCAAATTGTCTAGGCCCTAGGTTTTTTTTCCTTATTCAATTTTTGTCTAGTACTTTGTACGCATATAGTCATGTTTTTCTTGTAATTTAGGTCAGGTATTAGAATTTTAGAATGTTATATAAGAAACATTTGTCGAGAGGGGCCGTCACGATAAGTTCGCCAGAGGGCCCTCAAAATCCTAGGACCGGCACAGCAGCTAATGCCTGCCGACCAATGGAGCCCCATTGACCCGCCCCTAATAAGCATAATATAAGTTGAAAGCTATATATCGTATGAACGTCAGAGCCTTTGTGGTATAGAAAAACAATACTCCCTCAGTCTAAAAGAAATAATCTAGCTTTCCCAGAAATCAAATAATCCTAATATGAACTATAGGTTCTAAAAAATACTATCAATATTTATATTTTAAATAGATTTATTATAACAATATACTATTTCATAATTAATCTCGTATTAGTTACTACGCGTAGACATAAAACTTGTGATTGTTTGTTTTTTGAGAAAACGATATTTTTACTTTTCCTGGAACGGAGCTAGTGCTCGACCTACTACGCTAGAAGATGCTCCAGTGGACTGGACTGATTGTTGCACAACTTGTGCTTATCAAGGTGCATTGACACTACCGTCTTAAGTTATACCCTACAATTTATGAACTACTGTACTACTATAACCGTCCTGGATCAATCCTCCTTTTACGCTTTAATTCATGTACTATATATATATATATATATATATATATATATATATATATATATATATATATATATATATATATATATGGGTGTGTGTGTTCTGTTACAATATACGGACACGTTTGCTACTAAATATAACATGTCTTAAGTTATACCCTGCAATTTACCTTTTTATCTTTCAGGGACAAGGAGGAGCACCGCCGGTGCATCACCGCCTGTCTTGTTAAAGGCACTTACCTTCTAGAGAGCGAGCGGGCCAATTGCTGGGAGGACGACGCCAATACCTAGCACCTCGCGCCGGCGTGGTGGGAGAGCTTCCACTTCCGCCGCCACCGTGTGCTTGAGTGTGTGCGCGAGTGCCTCCTGTGCAAGATCGGCCACCACATCCTTGCAGCCAGAAGCACGCCCTTCATCTACGGAGCTATCTTCGAGTACGTGCCACCGGCCGGCGCGCCCCGCCACCCGTCGGCTCCAAGCTACGTCGTCGCCTTCCGAGGCACCACAACGCTGAGCGACATGCTCCTCAACCTCAGGATCCTGCTCAACGAGCAGCACTTCTGCGGCCGCTTCAGCCATGCACGCTCAAAGGTGGAGGAACTCCTCAACTCCATCCCCAAAAATGGCGGCGCCGGCAGCAGCGGCGGGGTGTGGCTCGCGGGGCACTCGCTTGGCGCGTCGATAGCGTTGGATGTGGGGCGCCATATCATGACCGAGGATGAGCTGAAACTCCCGACCTTCCTATTCAACCCGCCACAGGTGTCGCTGGCTAGCCTGGCTCCGGCGATCAACAAGCTGCCCATCGCAGAGGTGGCGAAAAAGGGCGTGCACGCCTCGAGCTCCGCCGTGAAGCACGTGCTGGGGAAGACAGTTCTGAGGCCCCACAGGAGGAACATGGAGGAGAAGTTTGAGCGGCTGTCGCCGTGGGTGCCGAATCTGTACGTGCACCCGCGGGACGTCATCTGCAGCGGCTTCATCGACTACTTCGAGCAGCGGGAGCGCCACCCCCGCTTGGCCGCATCGGCTGCCGTAATGTCGTACCGGGATATGTGCCGCTCTGCTATCGGCAAGCAGAATGATCGCCCGCATCTCCTACCATCCGCGGTACTGTGGAAGAACCAGAGCTCTCAAGGCAACCCACACGAGCTCCGGCAGTGGTGGCAGCCCCAAGGCCCGGAATTGGAGTTGACCAGCCAGTTATACAAGTGCTCTTGAGTATTGACCGGTCTTATACATGCTTGTTCCCATCTATTCGATCCCGTGGATGCTCAATAAAAAAAAAAAACCAGTGGATGTTTGTAGTTTTAATTTGATGTGTTAGGACAAAGTATATTGGTGGTTGTTTCATAGATTATGGTCTTATGCTTGCCACTAATCATGAGACATTGAACAACCAACTCATACATTGAATAAACTTTTAAGTTGCATTATAGTAATTCAGTTATCCTTAATTTGTATAATCAATAAAAAAAAAGGTTATGAGTTGTGTGGCAATACTAAATTGTACAATGATGAAATAATTGTCTTATAATTCTTTTTTTTTCTTATGATGTGGTCACTTCACAATCACCTCTTTCTCTTACCTTTCCCTCTCTCCTCCACGTCATCAAAAATCCTATATGGCATTGTATGAGACGGCCTTTGACTCTACTGACATGTAACAATCTACCTGCCCTAGAGACAAACAAGTTCGATATGTAACATGTGTTAGAATTTATATGAGCTAGTTTCTCTGAGCCCATATGTAGAAATTCTAATAAATCTCAAAGGTGAATTGCACATGTTCTCTAATGAACTTCAATGTTCAAGCCCAGGAGTAGAAGTAAAATGTGCAAAATTAATTAGTATCATATTACTAGTTGATATGAAGGTACGAGGTGTGTGTGTGTGTGTGTGTAAACTACTATATGTGGAGTGTTGAGTACCTAATAGCAGGGTTTATTACCTAAACCCCCGACTAGTGCCAAAACAATGCAATTAACCCCCTAACCAATTCCCTTGATCGGTTAGGGGCTTAGGGGCTACACTTAGCGGAGAAAAGGCCCATTAGCCCTAAGGCGGCCCACTCGCAAAGTGGCCTCCACACCTAGGAAGAACGCCATGGAATAGTCCCTCGATCAAGTCCCACACTTGGGGAGCTCCCGAGCATGCCCGACCTGGGATGGCCATGACCCTGACCAAGGGAGCTCAGGAACTGTGGCCCCATGAGGAGCCGTCCTAGCTTCCTCCTGCGGCGACGAAGGGAATCTCCTAGCAGATCTTAACAGGGGTCTAGAGCCTAACACGTGGGCAGAGCCACAAATTAAGCTCCAGATCCTATCAGGGCTCTGTCTCCTCACCCCCGCAAGGCTGTGTCGGTCACCCCTGGTCTAGGGTTGCACCCGAAGCATGACGCAACACGACAAAGAGGACACGGGCCGTCTCTGCATGAGGAAGACGATGACGCGAGAGGGTCCCACTGATTAGTTCCCTAAGGGCTACTTCAGCAAAGCCCCTACAGTCTTGCCGACTCTCGACCGCCTCCTGCCCGCAGTCCATACCTGACCCTAACTTCCCCACTCCCGAGCAGGAGCGTCGCAGACCAATGAAGGTTGTCGGCGAAGCCTCACTTGTGCTCGGTGCCGCTACAACCTACATGGCTCCATCCTTTGTTCCCATTCTCCCTAGTGGGCTCCTTGTTCTCCACTTCTCCATGACTGGGAAGCCAGGAGGAGGCGATAGTGTGTGGTTCACTAAATGTGTAAAGTGGATATAAGCCGTTTGGACTCTGGGGCATTACAGTACGTACATGTATGTTGTCAGTGACATTATAACTCAAAGCATAGATAGATGATATTGGCTTTTGCATGTAATAATCAGAATTATAATTGCATGATGAATACTACTAGAAGAATAAATATCAACCAATAATCATTATGACTAGCAACACCAACATTAGAATTTATGGTACTTGCAAAAATAATTATGGGAAACACATGATGTATTTGCAAGTTGTACTCGGACTTGTTGTAATATTGCGGTGTAGTACCTTTGTACTCCTCCATGATCAATAAACGGATCTTGACCTGATAATTGCTTGTTGCTGTCTGAACAGCAACAATATATAGCACAATAGCAAGCAAAACTACAAGTGATGAATAACAGATGCAATCGTGTTTTGGCTCGATGCAATAGTAATGACAAACAAAGGTGATATATCAATTAAGTAATGGGCTGAGGTAGAAAAAAATCATCCATTCCTTAGTGGAATTGTCAAAAAGTACGTTGATATAAAAATTGGTCCCACAACCAAATGCTAGAGCGCATAAACCGCAAACAATTCTGCAGAAACCAGCCTAGTCAACTACAGAAACCATCCTAGACAATTTTCCTGGGTTTTGCCCAAGAATGATAACTATCAAACTTGCATGGTGAAAAATGTCTTGGTTTACAAGTCAACCAACAAATGATGTATCATGCTTACACAATGACGAATGACTAGTTTTCAGGTAAAAACTAGCAAAGTAACTATTAAAACTCTCACCCTAGAGGGACCCTATCAGGGTGTGGATGTTGTCGGATTGGCCTAGGTCGGTGGCAATCCTAAGACGCCACCTCTGGTCATCGAATCAGATGATGAACAACCGATAAGGATTGAAAAAGTAGGGTAAAGGAGAAAATTAAACATGATAAAAATAAAGCTTTGGATTAATTTGTTTAATTGGATTTTCAATCAACTCACCTCGATCGTGGGGACGTCGTCCTTGCCTAATTTATCATAGCACGTGCATACAAGAAACGCGTGCAAGAACTCGAGAAGGTCAGCTTCAGCAACCGGGGCCGAGTTCAGTCAACCGGGCCGAGTTCAGTGCTTGACTTTGGAACAATGTATGAACGATCCCGTTGAGAGCCACAAAATAGAGCCCAGGGGTTCCACTTACTTTGCATCACAACCCGATGCAAGAAATACTAGCGTACTCCTCAATTCCAAATTATAAGGCGTTTTAACTTTTCTAGATACATTGCTTTTGTTGTATACTTAAATATACACTATACATATATATATATATATATATATATATATATATAGAGAGAGAGAGAGAGATAGTAAAAGCAATGTATTTAAACAAGCCAGAACGTCTTATAATTTAGAATGGAGGTAGTACTAACTAGATGTGTGATTTGGAAGGGGTTTCACGCTTAGTGTTGATTTCAGGTATTTAAGAGTACCACTGAGCCTGAAATTCCTCAGCAACACACGATGTAGCGAAGGGGTCAACAAAATTAAATGAGGGATAGATTTTGAGTAGGTCTCACACTCTGACAAGTTCGTCGCACTGACTCGAGCATGCAGATGCATGTATCGTCGCCGAACCGAACGAATCTTTACTGCGTTGTAACTTGCGCGCGAGACACGGCACAACGCGTATATATAGACGGCACACATGGTTCAGTTTTACTTCACGGCAAATAACAAAAGCACAAACACAGGCACGGGTAGAGAAGCCCGTAGTACATCATCATTAGCTTCCACTGCTGCTGCACTACTGCCTTCTTCCTAGGTTGTTCATTTGCCGATCGTTGTTTGCTGGCTGATCATCACCGCAGTGACTTGGATCTCCGGCCAACTCGATCCCATTGAACAATGGGCGCTTCTGATGATGACAGGGATAATTTCGACGTCTCTGGACCCAGGCACCTGACTCAAACTGAGATTGACTTGTCTGCACGCCTTTTATGTGTGCTAGCGCCGCTATTCTCTCTCGTTTTTACTCAAATCCATTCTGCATTTTTTTATTACAGCGAGTATAGTAATACTGGATAGCGATATGGTATCCTTGATACTGCATGTCACTCTGGTCTTGTCAAATTTTTTTTGAAACGAAATCTGGTCTTATCAATAGGACAACGCATGGCATATAGGAGTATCGGACATAGGTTGTTACTTGTTAGATTCCAAAAAAGAATATTATTAAATTCGTCTATGGCTAGCTCTATCTCACGGTTATGCGGTGCCGTGGTATATGGGTGGGACAGGGGTTCAGAGGTTTTCTCGATCTGCGTGAGAAAATCTTCTTCTGAAGCCAAAATATATATCGGAGGCTGTCTAGCCACCGCGGATCGATTTTTTAGACTGCATTTTTTACTACTGCAAAGTACGGAGTATTTTGTTATGTATATATAAGACAAATCGTAATCGCTAGCACAACTGCTGTACATGCATGTGATGCACTGCAATGAATCTGCAGAAGTCGATCAAGCTAGCTAATAACATGGATCAACCTCAAATTATATATGATTTCAGGGACAACAATGAGCATCGCCGGTGCATTACCGTCAGTCTTGTTAAAGGCACCTATGTTCTGGAGAGCGATCGAACCAAGAACAGGGAGAACACATCCCATGCACTCGCACCGGCGTGGTGGGAGACGTTCCACTTCCGCAAGCTCCCTGAATACAAGTTTGAGCACGCGCGCAAATGCGCCATGTGCGAGATCAGACGTATTTTGGGGGGCAAGCTGTTCATCTACGGTGCTGTCTTCGAATACGCGCCACCGGACGGCGTGCCCCGCCACACCTCGGCTCCAAGCCACATCGTCGCCTTCCGCGGCACCATGACCCGGGATCCCACGGTCTTGCACGTGCGGCCGCTTCACGAATGCACGCGAAAATGTCCAGCTGCTCCTCCGTGAGAAGGCCGATGACAGTAATGGCGGCTGGGGTGGTGAGACCTGGCTGGCGGGCCACTCGCTTGGTGCGTCCATAGCGCTGGACGTGGGGCGTCACATGATGATCCATCGGGGACTCGACCTGCCCACCTTCCTGTTCAACCCGCCGCATGCATCGCTTGCTCCGGCGATCGGAAAGCATGTCCGGCAGGACGTGTACGCCGTTGGCTACTTCCTCAAGTACGCACTGATGAGCAAAGTAATCCCGAGTTCCCACAAGAATCACATGGAGGAAGTGTTTGAGAAGCTAAGGACGTGGGACGCGGGACGGCGTGTGCAAGGGCTACATCCACTACTTCGAGCAGCGGGAGCGGATGATGGATCGGCACCCGTCACCCGTCTGTGGCCACGTTGGCTTCCAAACTGTCCTTCCACGACATGTGGAGGTCTCTGTGGGGCAAGCAGACTGAGCGGCCGCATCTCCTACCATCCTTGATTCTGTGGAAAAACACGGGGCAGAGAAGAAAGACGCGCACGGGCTCCGGCAGTGGTGGCAACCTATAGTCC